AAAACAATAAAAAAACTATAACGATTAGTAACAAATAACTTTACAAAGTGCTTAAGAAAATGCTCTTAGAAACCATATTCCACATCTCCAAAAATATTTTATTGTTTATTATACTTTTCCTTAATTACATTAATTCACTCATTTTTACTTTATGATACTTAACCCCGCCCCGACCCCTCTTTGCCTCATTCATAAAACTAGATCTCCTAAGATCATTATTTTTTTTAAGTTCATGAATTAGATCAAAACTTAGATTTCAAATTTCATTAACAAATCTCCTTTCGTTTAGGATTTAGGCCAATCGCAAATGAGTATTTTCCGGGAAATCCCGGATTTCCGAAAATTCACTTAAAACCAGGGGTGTGAAGTCGTAAAAAAAAAGTAACAACTCCGACACCGACTCCGGGTTTAACTCCAAAGCAAAGTTTTTGAAAAATTCTTTGAAATTCTTTGAATTCTTTGAAATTCTTTAAATTCTTTGTTTAAAATTTCTTTTTTGACAAGTTTAAGAAACGTTCTTTAAGGTTTAGTATGAACAAAAGGTTAATTGAATGTTTTGTACATGCACGTGTAATACCGGAAAATTTTACTATTGGAGTCGGAGTCGCGATTTTGTTTAGCAACTCCGATTCCGACTCCGACTTCACAGCCCTGCCTAAAACTTCTTTAGTTTTCTAGAAATTTCCGGATGTTTTTTGATATTAATTTTAAAAAAAATTTATCTATTTTAATATAAAATTTTAAATACGACAACTTTTGCATTTGAACAAATATGTAATTTGAACAAATAAATATTTCCTTTTTTTTTTGCTTATTAATTCATTCAAATTAACTTTTTCGAATATTAGAAATTCCTTTTTGTAAATTGTTAAATATTCAAAATTCGTTTTAAAAGTTTACGAAAGTTTTTGTTGTCTAGTTTCTAGTTTAATATAAGACAAAAAAAAAAAAAAAAAAATTTAATTTTTTTAGGAACTATACCCTTGGGTTAGGGGTGGGGATGTTGTTGGTTAGAGATAGGTCGATCTTTACTAACATAACAAAATTACATAAAAATGTCATGCCCGCGAGCATATTTTTTAAGTTTCAAAATGTTTTGGAAACTGAACTATCAACTTTATTAACTACTTACTACTATTGCTATATCAGTTATTACTATTAATATAATATTTGTTAATAAAATTATTACAATTGTTATTTCAATATTTAACAAATAACAACGGCTAGCCGTTGTTACATGTTAAATATTGAAATAACAGAAATTACAAAGTAACAAATAACAACGGCTAGCCGTTGTTATTTGAAGTTGCACAATGAAGTTGCATAAAATCCTAAATAAATCGAAAAAAGTGTGACGGATTAGTGTTCAAAGATTTTAAAGGTTCATGTGTACACAAAACTATTATACTAGCCATTTTGCCTTCATTGAACAAAAAATACTAAATTCTGCGGATATTTTTGAGTAAATTGAACATTTCTTCCTTAGATTACAGAGTATCTGAAGATCTAAAAATTTTGCTTCAAATGGTTAGAAAACAAACTGTAACATCAAAGCAACCTTGTCCGTTTTGCAGGAATTCATCTCGTAATATCTTCAAAAAGCTGATCTTTATTCTTTATAATCTTTGTACAGATTTTACGAACAATGGATATCTGATGGTGCAAAATTAGAAAATGTAAAAATGTAGACAAATGTTGTTCAAACAACTTTAATAACAGGGGACAAAAATAAAAAAAATAATAGAGCTTGTAAATGTTCCCAGTCTATATAAAGGGGAAGTGGAGGCATAACCGCATATGGAGGAACAACCATTTTTTTTAACATTTACCTTAGAAAAATGTCATCTAATATGGCAAAAAACATACCTCGCGTTGATAAAAACATACCTCGCGTTGGTAAAACAGTTTCCCTCGCTTATGTCAAAAAGAGTGTCTAATGCGTTTCTGACATATTGTGCATAATTTTGTTTATTTTGATAAAAGTATTATATTTACATCATATTTTTCCAGACCTTTCTTTTAAGGATTGAGCAATACTTGATTTTAGCGCTAAAGATATATGTTATCAGTGTTATTTCACCAAGTGAAAACCATTTTTGATATCAACATAACCTAACAAGCAAGCTATGAAACTGTATTCTTTCTAAAAACACTCTTCTGGGACAGAAACACACAGGAGGCCCAGCTTCATACTTTTGATATTTATCAAAGTTAGGTAATTACGAATAACAATATATACAATCATCACACTTGAATACGTTCATGTAAAAAGTTGAATAGAAATATATTTGAATAGAAATTTGAATAGAAATAGTTTTGTTTTAAGATGTTGGAAATTAGATTTTGTATTTTTTTTATTTAATTTTTATAATTGAGTTTCTGAATATAATATAAAGCTAAGATTATAAATCGATATATTGTTATATTTATGTATATCTAATGATTATTATTATAATTTGTAAGTATATATGGTGCATTTCTTAATTTTTACCTTCAACAATTTTTGCGAGGGTGTGGTTGTGCCTCACAATGGGGTCAAAATTTTTTTTTCACGAAGTGTACTTTTTTGTGTATTAACATTTTCAAAAACCGTTTTATTTTTTTCCTAATTGCAGCAATTTAAAGCTTAATAATGTGGTTATTGAAATAAACTGATAAAAAGACACATTTCGCTTTTATTTTCATATAACATCAATTCAAACGTTACAAGGGGGGTTATGCCCCCCCTTCCCAAACTATTAGTAGACAAAATTTTAAAAAAGATTGAAATGAGTTTGTTTGAAAACAAAAAATGTGGGTTACAGTTTGTCAACCAATATCTGCCTACAATAAACACCTTCAGAGTATCCTAGGGCAGAATCGTTTGGATGGCAATAATCGCAATAAGTTGCTTAAAAACAAAGACAGCGTTGAACTGTTTTTTCAGGAGTCCATTCTCGGAGATCCCGAGATCCCGCAGCCAAATACATTAAGGTAGAATTTGAATGAAATTTGAAAAGAAAGATTTTGAAAAAAATATTCAAAGAATTTTTTGAAAAATCATTAAACTCTACTTGAGTCAAAGATATAGAGCAAATACAAGCTTGTAGAAATATACGTAGCCCGTAGATTTCTACAAGCTGTAGAAATCTACAGGCTACGATTCCTTTAAAGGCACACATCGTTAAGCAACATATTATCAAATTCATTGACATGAAAGTTGGAGTATTTGGATTAATTAAATTATTTGGCTTGAAAAATTATAATAATATTATTTGATTATAATAATAGTAATTAAATACTTATTATCATAATATAAGAGCATTTTATGCAAGTTAAAACTTGCATAAAATGCGACGATTATTCATTAAGTAGGTTAGAATTTATTTTGTACATTTGGAACGAACAAGTTCTCGAATCCAGTCACCCGGATTTCAATTAGTTTTTGGAAATGAGAAAATTTGGTAAGCACAGTCCTTACTATATTAAAGCGCAAAAAAAAGCAATTGTTGCTTTCAGTAGCAAACATTTTTTAAGTAGCTTTCGATTTGCAGGTAGCTTGCAAAAAGTACAATATTAGCCTCTCATGAACAATTGTTTAACTTAATTTTTTGATATATGATATGATGATGTATGACATGCAAATTATAAGTAATAATCTAACCACATAGACCAAAAACTTTGTTTTATAACAATAAAGTAATTGTATCTAACCCTATTGAACCCCTAATAGTCCACATCTAGAGTATATTTCGTAAAATAATTTTTTTTTACATTATATTAAACTAGATTGAAATTTATTGACAGACGTTAGATTTTATCAAAAAAAACTTACGACCATTATTTCAATGGGTAAACAAGCTGAACTTTAAAATTATTAAGGTCAAAAATCATGAACAAAAGTAGGTTTTTTAAGGAAATTTGAAATCTGTCAATAAATTTTGATATTTTTTTAAAATTTATTTATTTTAGGTGCCCCAAGAAGTCCTTATGGTCTTATCCAGAGCACCACAGAAGGGTATTTGAGAATACGAAAATTTTTTTAAATATTATAAATGTCTCCTAAGATCATAAAAGTTTATGATTTTAGGAGACATAGTTCGAGGAAAAGGGCAATTAAGAGTCAGGACGGGGTTGGATCAGCCTCACTTACCTAAATATTTCGCAAGTCATCCTCATTTGATACCAATATCAACATACTAGAAATTTGAATGTACTACACGGCTTTAAGATATGCTACATGGCTCTAAGATCTTGAACAACAAAATTACTGAGTACTTACCTAAACTACGTGATTTCTCTCCAGAACCCTGGGTAAAAAAAGTTGTATCTTACATTTTTGGAATAAAGAAAAGTCTTATAATGATAAACAAAAAAAAGTTCTAGGGATGTGTTGCAAAATTCTAGAGCATGTTTCTATGCACCGTATTTAGATACTACATCTCTACTTTGACATTAGTTTGTCATAAGCACAGCTAATTAAGCACGATGTAATTTAACGTTTTCATTCGGCCAAAAAAATGTTCTTTAGGCTATATAACAAATCCAAATGTCAATTCATTGAGAAAGTTTTTTTAAAGAAATAATTTGATATTGCAAAAATACTGAAATATTTGAATTATAAATACAGATCATTTTTGCAGCCTTTTGTTGCAGTTCTTATTATTTATTATATATAGCTGGATGGTTTTTTTTTTATAAATGCTACTTTTTTCAAAATTTTATAAGATATAACTTTTTTTTACCTTGAGAAGAAATAATAAAGGTTTTCAAAACTTATTTATAACCCGTTATTAATATTACAGTTAATAGTTACTATCATATATTATTAATAATTGTTATAAATAGTATAAATTATAATTGTAACTAATGTTAACTAATTGTATTTAATTATAATTTATATAAATTATAGTTATAATAATTATTGGTATTAATATAATAATACATTACTTATCTTTAAACTTTACAATTAATAAAAATTGACGAAGAAAGTAAACTAAAATAAGATTTTTTTTATTTAGAAAGTTATGGGCGCGGTGTATATTGGGATTCAACAAATTTACATATATATGTTTGCATGAATCAGAATGTTGTCAGGTAAGTTTAATATTCTTTACTGTTGTTGTTGAATTTTTATGAAATAAAAAAACTTTGTGGATATTTTACAGTACAGAAACAGCATGTTACTACTCTAAAGACGAAGGTAAACATTGGAAAGGTAAATTTTAAAGTTAATTCACGTAAAGTTTATCAATTTACTCACTAATTGCTCTGTTAAATTATCTTTAACACATTATGTGTAAAAGTTAACTTTTACACATAATGTGTTCAAGATAATTGTTTATAAGTATTTTTTACGCGTTTTGTAATTATCATACATCGTTTATTATTTATATTATACACTTTTTTTAATTGTTATAAGGTAGACTCTCAGGGACAACTAAAACAGTTTAACTTTAGTTGTAAAACAAAACTTTAGTAGTCCTTGTGGACTCTTTTTTCAAGCTCTTATTCCGACGTTTATTTTACCTCCGCAAACATAAAAGTAATAAATTTTCATTGCACAACCTGCCCTAACCCTATCCCATAAATGTGCACTCATTGCACCTATGATTATTTAAGTTACTTCATGTATGTAAATTCCTCTGATCATATTCATATGAATCCTAATTTTCGGACGTAAAAGACGTTTCCATAAGAGAGCCTACTTTACTATAGGCTCTACAATAAAGTAGTAAATATAATACTTTATGACAGAGCCTACTTTATATTTTGATTTCTAGATAAAGATCAAAATCTGAAGTGGTCTTTATTTTGGCTTAAAGTAAACTATAACTAAAGTAAAGTAAACTATAACTAAAGTAAAGTAAACTATAACTAAAGTAAAGTAAACTATAACTAAAGTAAAGTAAACTATAACTAAAGTAAAGTAAACTATAACTAAAGTAAAGTAAACTATAACTAAAGTAAAGTAAACTATAACTAAAGTAAAGTAAACTATAACTAAAGTAAAGTAAACTATAACTAAAGTAAAGTAAACTATAACTAAAGTAAAGTAAACTATAACTAAAGTAAAGTAAACTATAACTAAAGTAAAGTAAACTATAACTAAAGTAAAGTAAACTATAACTAAAGTAAAGTAAACTATAAAGTAAAGCCTATATTTAAAGTAAAGCCTACTTTAGATTTTCATCTAAAAAAAAACTTAAAAAGTGAAAAATTAAAAAGTTCTGCAATTCATTTTATAAATTTTAGATTTAGATATTTGCGTAGGATCTATAATTGGACATCATTCAATAACAAGAGAACTCTACGCCGTTCATAAAAACCGAAAAACCTACTTAAAGTTTCACGGCACTTACAAAAAGTGGTTGGCTTTAACTAACAATGATTATTTAGAGCAGGTCCATAGGTATATTGAATCAAGTAGACGAAAAAACTTAGAAGATGACAGCGATCAAGTATTTTCACTTGGTACAAATCAATGGATGGGTAGTTTTTTAATTTCTAAACATCTGTTTAATTTCTAAATTTAATTAAATATTTCTTAATATAACTGTAACAAGTTATAAAAAATTGATACTTCCTCATTGTAGTTTTAAAAAAATTTGTAAATGACAATTGTTAAATTTTGTAACACAAACTTTTTTTTTCAATTTATAACTTAGAGAGTTAGATTTTATAACAAGTTAGAAGAATTTCTTTTAAGTAATATTGTTGTTGTTAATTTCGTAACTGTCAATATTTTTATATGAAAATCATTTACAGTATCAGGAGTATAATATAAGATGAAATAAAATAAAATATTTTAAAAATCATTTAAAAAAATTTTAATAAATAATTTTCCATGGAAAAATTCAAAAACCATTATTCAAACTTTTTCAAAAATAATTTTCATTTCATTTAGGCAATTATTATGGATTATTTGTTCGTAAACATTCAACTGAAGCTTGGGTCCAAATAGTAAAATGGAATAGACAATAAATTGACAACTTTAGAGTTTATATTTGCTATATTGTTATATTATTGTATGAGCTATGATAAAAATAAAAATTTTTATAAATTATTTTAGTTAAAAATTTATATCTGTAACTAAATAACTGTTTATTTGTTAAGCTTAGTTTTTTTTTTTTTTTTTTTTAATTCAATTTCATTTTGCTGTTTATATAAATTAAAATTTCCTTTCACCAAAAATAAAATATAGTTACAAGTGTACAAATAATAAACAGACAGGGGCTCAAAGAAAATACGGATGGCAAAATACCAACCTAATCTTTTCATAGAGCCCCTACACATTATTACAATAATATATGGTATTATATGGTTAATAAATCAAGTAGAAAATTTAGGAAAAAAAAGAAATAGTAAAAAAGAAGATATAATATTTAAGAATAAAAATAGAGAAAAAAGAAGATGTATCAATATATACATTAAAATACATATATACATATATACACATATACACACATACACATACATGTATGTGTAATTGTCAAGCTTCTAGTTTGCAAGTTTCAATAAAAATCTAATCATTGTGTAAAGAATGTTAACGAAAAAAAATTACTCTCAGCAACACCAACACAATAAATATAGTTTCGTCTCAACAACACAAACACTATAAATATACCGTTTAGTGAATAGGGATTGTAAATTTACCGACTTTTTGATTTACCTGTACAATCTTCGGAATTAGGGTCAATGCTAAAAAATTTTTTTAGCCATTCGGCAATGCTAACTGCCGACCTGAAAGTGTTTGACGTCGGCAAAAATTTACCGACCTCATTTCTATGTTTTTTGGTCAGACCTTTGTATCAAATAATTTTTACCGACCTCAAAAAGATTGAGGTCAGTAAGTTATTGCCGACCTCATTTTTCGTAATTCCGAGGGTTCCCGTTAATTCGGTAAATGAAAATTGTAATACCGGTATATCGGTAAATTACCAATAAACTTTACATATCAATAAATCAATACAACTTTTATAAAATATCATTTTTAAAAAAGCAGCTTCGTAGAAAGTTTAAACTATCCAATGTCTTGTCTCCTAATTGAGATTTAATATTTATACAAATTAGTCCAGTTCCTGAATATACTCTTTTCGGTTCAACATCTGTTGGACGAATGGTCATCAAATAGTCAAAAACTATTTGAATGTACTTCCGTCGTATATTTTCTTGTCAAAAGTACTCTAACTCATTTTTTATAACTTCTTTTATTACAATCCCTATTACTGAACAACATCTGTTTTAATACTATATTTTTAAATTAATATATTAGGCCGGATAAAAAAAAATAAGCAATTGTTTTTACTTAGTAATTGGTCAGTTTTACGTGAATAAAAACTTCAGGAAATTTGGTTAAGTAAAGCTGAGCAATTAGTGAGTAAATTGCTTAACTTTAGGTGAATTAAAATTTCAGTAAAACTTTTAAAGTTTTTATTCACGTAAAGCTGACCGATTGCTGAGTAAAAGCAATTGCTCATTTTTATTCACCCGGGTTATTGTGGTTATAAAGTTACTTTAATGGCTTTACAAATGTAAACTTTTGAATATCCCAAGTTAACACAAATTAGTTGGTTCAACTTTGTCCAAATATAATAGTTATACGTAGTTGAAAAATGGACTTTTAGCCTTGTTACTTAGAATCAAAAACAGGTAGTGTAGCTTATTTCCTCCAGCTTTTTGCCTCACAGTTACCAAATACCAAAATAAATTTTAATTGGATTTTAACCTATGGACGGTTAAACTCCAACTAAATTATTATCAAGCGCAACCACATTCAAAGTACACTTTGAACACACTTGCATGTAAATGTGTTTTAGTAACAAAGGTTACTTAAACTTAAAGATTACATTGTCGATAGAGTAAAAGATAATAAATAAGAGTGAAAGAATAATAAATAAACAATTTGAAAAATAACATAAAGTAGTGTAAGTTTCATGCTAACAGTGGTCAAAATTACATTGTTTAAAAGAACTTTCAGTATAAAAAATTGATGTTATTTTTTCTTTTTTTTTTGAGATTATAACCTTTTTCTTCCGATTTACTAATTTTGACTTTTTTACAGAAAGTCAACAGTTATCCGATTTTGAGATTATTGTGCGATAAAATGCAAATATATAATATATATATATATATATATATATATATATATATATATATATATATATATATATATATATATATATATATATATATATATATACAGTCATGTGCATGAAAATAGCAGTGGCACAAAAAATTATAAAAAAACCTTATTAAATTTAATGATATGCATAATTTCGGACCGTAATTGTTAATTTTTCATAATTAAGTGTTATCTGACACTATTTAGTCTAAAAAAAGCTTTTAAACTTAAATGGACAATATCATACTACCATTTTTTTAAAAAAGGTACTTTTATCACATTTAATGAATGCAGATTTACCATTAAAAAAGTAAATAAAATATAACATTGATGAAAAACTATTTATTCATCTTTTGAAAATACATCTAATACTTAGTTCCATGACCCTTATTTTTCAATACTGCTTTACATCTTCGTGGCATTGACTCGATTAGATGACGACATCTTTCTAAGGGAATAGCTCTCCAAGCTGCTTCAACTGCTCTCCAGAGTTCCTCTTTATTGGCTGGTCTAGACAAAGATACTGCTCTTTTAACATCCCCCCACAGGTTTTCTATCGGGTTCAGGTCTAGGGATTGTGCTGGCCAGTTCATTACCTCAACCTTATTCTCTACAAACCAATTTTTAGCTTTACGAGAGGTGTGTTTAGGATCATTATCCTGCATAAAGATCCACTTCAAAGGCATTTCTTCTTTTGCATATGGTAACATGACTTCTTGCAGTATTTTAACATAAGCAGTTGCATCCATGATGTCTTTGATCCAAAAAATAGGTCCCAATCCAAACCAAGAAAAACAACCCCATGCCATCATCTGGCAGCCACCATGTTTTATTGTCTTGGTGGTATACTTTATATTATATTCTGTTCGTGGGGGTCTTCGTACAAACTTTTCGTGAATACCTGGATTAAATAAAACAATTTTAGTCTCATCACTCCAAAGAATATTACGCCATTTCGATGATGGCCATTCTTGATGCTCTATAGCAAATGCAATTAGATTTTTAATCTGTCTCTTATTTAGAAGTGGAGTTTTTCTGGGCCTTCTGGCTTTTAAATTGGCTTTTATCAAACGTCTTCTCACTGTCGAGGACGATATTGGTAAATTTAATTCCGTTTTTATGGCTGTGGAACTCATAAAAGGATTTATCTTCGCACATCTAATAATTTTACGGTTCGTTTTCAATGACGTTTTAAATTTTCCCCCACGCAATTCCGCTTTTTGTGTCCATTTTTTGGCATTGGAAATCATTTTTGCAGAACATTGTAAAGCATCTTGGATGAATTTGTAAGTTTTACCATCTTTTAACGTATTTAAAATTATTTGACGCTTATCATTGGAACAATGTTTTGCTCTACCCATTTTAACTGTAATAAAATTGTGAAACTTAATAAAATATCGTTTAATTTTAATGAACAAACACTTACCTTAATGTATAAAAAAAATTGATGGTAAAAACAACTTTTAAGGCACTAATAGAAAATAAAGTGTATATTCACTGCTATTATAACGCACAGTTAATAAAGCAAAATTTTATAATTTAATTTAAATTCTGATACATGTATGTATAAACAGCAATATTGCCAACCTCTTTATATTTAAAAACCCTAACAGAAAATATTTAGAGAATAAAATATACAAAATTAACCATCAGTAAAAAAATTAAATGTATTTTATAAATAATTTTCTCCCACTGCTGTTTTCATGCACATGACTGTATATATATATATATATATATATATATATATATATATATATATATATATATATATATATATATATATATATATATATATATATATATATATATATATATATATATATATATATATATATATATATATATATTATGGGTGTACCAAAAACGAACTTTCTCCCTCCCCTCCAGGATACCTCTCAACGTTTTTCCCATTTTTTGAAGTCCACTGAGGCTAAAAATCAAAAGAAAAAAATTCATTACCAGGAAGGGATAGCTGTAAAATACTCTAATATGTATGTTTAATACAATACTCTTAATATGTATGTTTTTAAGCTCAAAACTATTTACTATTTACTTAGTACATGTACTAATGGAACTGTGCTCAAAAAAATTAAAAAGAGAAATTTAATTATTCGGTTTTGGTTACATCTTTTTCAGATTTTCAAAGTGATTAAATTTACTTATGTATGTTACTTAATTTAAGATTTCATAGTATTTTGTAATATGAAATCTTAAATTAAGTAACCGTTCTCTCAAAAAATATACAAATAAAGGAGAATAGAGAAGACTACTGTTCCTTCTCAAGTATCCTATCAATCAGTTACAAACAAACCAGCTTCCTAACATTAGAAATGTTCTTAGATACATACAGTTTATTAAATCTCCAAGGTCTTTGAAATTTAAATCTAATTTAAATTTAAGCCAATTGTAGCTTGCTCTCAAACGTTTCCAGGCCAAAATCTTATCTGCAAAGGTGGATAATGTAGAAATGCCAACCACAGATGTGTTACTGCTTTTGTAATGGATGTGTGGAACAAAGCTGGTTTCGGTTAGTTTATCCTCGGAGAGTTTATCTCGAGCTGCTGTCAAGTAAGAGTTAATGCAATTTTTAATTTAATATAAATAAAATATCAAGTAAATCAACAAACATAATCTGATAATATTAATACGCTAATTTAATATTTGAGCAGCCGTGGCGCAGTGGTTAGAGTCCTGGCTCAGAACCCAGAGGTCCGGGGTTCAACGCCAGCTCTAGCCCAACAAGCGACATTGGTACAGAAGAAGGCGTGAACTTCCCGTTAAATGCTCTCCCGCGGCGCTCTATGATAAGACCGTAAGGACTTCTGGGAGCACCTAAATACATATAAAAAAATATATATATAATTAGTCGAATTACGTCATTTTCTAGGCTTTTCTATTTTAAAGTAGTTTCTAGGCTTTTCTATACGCGTTTTTTTTTTAATTTTAT